GGCCCTGCTTCCGGGGCTGCCTTTTATCTCAGCCAGGCGGCGTCTCCCGCCGGCGTCGCCCGGCCCCAGCTGGATATAAGTGCGGCTCACAAACCATGCTGGCGGTCTCCCCGCGCGCGTGTCCCTACTGGCTCCGGCCTCTGTGTGGGGTAAGTAGGTGGTTACTCCCCCCCTGGTCCGGCCCCGGGGTACCCTTCTAACCCCAGCATCCCTGGGACAGTGGGCATTCCCTTTCTCCCATCACTACCCGCCATGGCAGTGGGGTGCATAATCACTTGACTTATGCTCACTATCTGCTTTCTCATCATAAGGAATCAAACTGTAATTATAAGTCTATATAACATAAGTCTATATCATATATTGATATATATATATGGTGGAGGCCCAGGATGTGTGGTATGTTGGTGTGTGTGCTGCAAGAGGCAGCTGGAGTGGGGGAGGCTGATAAGGCAGATTTACCTGCTTTGAAATGCTGTGATAAGGAATTGAACTATTACAATTATTATTGACCATTAATAAATCATTAATATTAATATGATTACAAACTCTTATTAATATATTACTATTGGAATTAATAGTTTTATTGATTCCTATTATTAGTATTACATGTTATTATATTATAAGTCTATATAGGTCTATAGGATGAAAGTCAACTATAGTTATAATGCATAATAGTTCAGTTCTTGAGAGAATCCTGAAGAAAGTGTTGTTATCCTCTTCATCTTCTTTTTCTTCCTTTCTCGTTCTACCTCTTGTCACACCAACAGGGATTGATCAGCCTGCAACTAGCAGTGGAAGGGGATCTAAAAACCAGAGGAAGGGAGGATAGAAAGAGCATTGGAATTTTTATTGGTGCCTCTTGTGCACCTTGCGTACCATCCTTCATACCCATAAAATTCCACCAGTCCTGTTTACAATAAATTTGAACTAAACAATATGTCCCCCCCAACCAGAGATGACCCTATCAGGGTGCAGGGCAGTCGTGTACTGACGGCGGCGGGCAGGGTGGCTGCCCCAGGCATGGACGCAAAGGGGGCACCATTGGCAGGTGCAAAGGGAGTGCCACCACTCTGTGCCACTCCCCCGCCCCCCACCCGCAGAAGACAGTTTGTCCAGGGTGCATTGGAGGGAGGGCGGCAGCACACTGAGCTTGTCCCCCGGGGCTTGGAGACCCATGGTACGCCACTGGTGCAGGGCCTTGGGCAAATTAGCACACTCCCTGCTGTGCAGAGCCAATCCCATGTGCCGCAGCAGCAGCAAGGGGGAGGGAAGTTGGCAAGCGTCTGGATGCGAGGCTGGTGGTGGCACTGAGGAGTCACCCCATCCACTCCTCCCATCTCCATGGGGCCCCCCAAAGCACTCTGCCCAGAGTGGTTGCTTGTATTCACAGCCCCTAGGGATGACCCTGCCACCCTCAGGGCACAGACAAGTGTCAGGTGTCACTTACCAAGGGTGGTGTGTAGCACATCACCATGTCCTCTTTCAAGTCGCACGTTGCAGAGGTGTGGCATCAAATAGCACCCGAAGCTTTACTTCATCCACTTGATCAGCCTGCAGTCTTCTCGAATCCTGGCTTTGCATTGCTGTGCCCCCCAGAAGCAAGTCTCGTGACTGGGATGAGTCCTTCTCTGCCCCCGCTGTGTTGTCATCCCTCACCTGTCTCAAACCTCCCTCACTGATACAGCGAATGCACACCCCAACCTCTGCTCCCCCAATTTATAGTCCTTCAGTAGGGCAAGCACCCTCCACCAGCAGCCTCATTTTGGTATGGAAACCCCCCCCCCCCCCCCCCCTCGCGTGCGGGGGGCCCCCCCCACTCTGGTGCTGAGGTGGAAAAGAGCATGAAAAGAAGGTGAAAAAGTTTGCAAAGTCCCTAGGTTTGTGTGCAAGCAAAGCAGGTTTTAAACCCCACGTGCCCCCTCCCCACCTTGGCTTCGCTTTGATGTTCTAAAACAAAGGAGACAGTGCCTGGCACCTGGCTGGAAAAGAATCTTGAAAAAGTGCATTTACACAGTATCATAGTACTTAGGGTCGGAAGGGACCTAAACACATCTTTAGGCCCAACCCCCTACCCCAGGCAGGAATGGGTGCCAGGATCATATCACCCCAGCCAAATATCTGTCCAGCCTCTTCTTGAAGACCCCCAAGGTAGAAGAGAGTGCCACCTCCCTTGGGAGCCCAGTCCAGAGCCTGGCAGCCCTAACTATAATGTCTCCTGATGTCCAGCTTGAACCTTCTCTCTAACAATTCATGGCCATTATTCCTAGTAACCCTGGGTGGTGCCAGGGGGAACAGAGCCTCCCTCAATTCTCACTGGTCCCCGCCAGTGAATTCTCTCAGCCTTCTCTTGTGGACTCTTGTGGAGGCTGAATAAGGTCCGGGCCCTTTGCGCCTGCCCTGCTGCCCCTTGACCATGCGAGTGGCCCTCCTCTGGACCCTGTCAATGCCAGCCACATCCCTCTTCAAGTGCGGTGCCCAGAACTGGACACAGTACTCCAACTGCGGCCTGACCAACACCACATAGAGGGGAAGGATCACCTCCCTGGACCTGCTTGTGATGCATCTATAGATGCACGACAAGGTGCAGTTAGCTTTACTCACTGCTTCCTCGCATTGGCTGCTCATGTCCATCCTGGAGTCAACAATGACTCCAAGATCCCTTTCTGCCACCGTGTTGACAAGAAGGGTCTTCCCAAGCCTATAGGTGTGTTGCTGGTTCCTTCTCCCTAGATGCAGCACCCTGCACTTGTCTGCATTGAATTCCATCCCATTCTCATTCACCCACCTCTGTAACCTGTCTAGATCTAGCTGGATTCTGTTCCTCCCCTCCAGCATGCCCACCTCACCCCACAGCTTGGTGTCATCAGTGAACTTGGACAGCGTGCTTTCCACACCCACATCCAGATCACTGATAAAGATGTTGAACAGTACAGGCCCCAGGACTGAGCCCTGGGGGACTCCACTGCCCACATCCCTCCAGGTCGAAAATGACATCCACCATCACTCTCTGGGTGCGACCATCTAGCCAATTTGCCACCCATCTGACTGTGTAGGCATCAATGCCACAGTCACCAAGTTTTTTTAAGAGAATGTGGTGGGAAACCGTGTCAAAGGCCTTCTGAAAGTCCAGGAAAATGACGTCCACCCCGACACCCTCGTCCAGGGACTTTGTGACCTGATCATAAAAAGAAACCAGGTTAGTTAGGCAGGACCTACCCTCAATGAACCCATGTTGGTTGCCCCTGAGCATTACCTCCCCTGCTGGGCCCTTGGAGATGTGCTCCTTCATAATTTTCTCAAAGGTCTTCCCAAGGACTGACATAAGACTGACTGGCCTATAATTGCCAGGGTCCTCTTTTCTCCCCTTCTTGTAAATGGGGACACATTGGCCCTTTTCTAATCCTCTGGTACCTGGCCAATGCCCCAAGAGTGCTCAGAGAGCCTTGCCAGGGGCCCTGCTATGACCCCTGCCAATTCCCTCAGCACCCTTGTGTGAAGAGCATCTGGACCTACTGATTTAACCACGTCCAGCCCCTCCAAGAGTTCCCTAACTAGGTCGTCCCTGACCCTAGGCATGGCAGTGCCTCCCCTGGGTCTGTCTGCAATTCTAGTGGGGGGGGAGGGGGGACCAGGGTCCCTGTTCAGGAATATGGAGGCAAAGGATTAATTAAAGAGGTCAGCTTTTTCGTTTGCTATAATCACCAGATTGCCA